GAGGTGAACTAACAATTTTCTTGGAAAAGCAGCACTTTAGAAGAGAGAATTTCCTTTAGTTTGAATTTTAGGTTTTCTTTAGTCATGAAGTTATGAGGTGAATTTCCAGGAGGATCAGGAAGAACAAAATCCCCCTTAAAGATGGGGTTTGTTGCTTCAGTGAATGAATTATGCAGCATGAGTTATACCCCCTCTGCAGAAGGATTCCTCTTTCTAATCTGTCATATGTGATCTGGACTATCTTCCCTACAGTGTGTTGGTTAAGCCAGTTCACATTTCCCTTTGGATTCCCAGGAGGTCAGAGAATTAATTGTGCATCAGCCAAAACTTTTCCTTTCTTTTTTTTTTACTCCAGATCTTTTCTATAGAGGTTTGCAAACTTGACTTGTAAAAAAGTCTGAGAAAGATCTTTTATTTGACATCAGCTGAATAAGTTCAGAAGTATAAACTCCAGAGATGATAACTTATTGTGCTTGCATTTTATTTAGCAAGATTTTTTTTTTTTACAGCAACTGATGTGAGACCTGATGAGAAATGAGGTACCTTCATAGCCTGTGTTTCCCACCAGCTCAGATGCCAAATGCTTCACAAAACTACAAGTTGTATTCAGTGACTATCACTGACTCACTGTCACTTTGATAGTACCACTTCATTTTGATGTTTCACTCCAGTACTTTTTTAAAAGAGAAAGTGTCCTATAAAATGTGAGAATTGGGCAGTGGGAAATTTTGGGCTCTTCATGTTCTTCAGCTGTGCTGTAAATTATTATTTAGATTGCTTTTTAGTTCCCTTTTGACAGGCATGTTTTTATTTGCTAATTTGCTTTTACAAACTGTGCTAGAGGTGTGCCTCTAGCTGAGTTGTTACAGAAAGTTTCTGACAAGTTTTAGGTGTTTCTGAAGATGAAGTTAGGAAAAGTTATTATCTTATTAAGCAATGAGAAAACTATTTAACATAATATAGCACACTTTTACTTTGTGAGAGAAAGAAAATGGTTGACATAGGTTTGGATGCACACGTCTGTTGAAAATTCTCTGAAACACGGCCTTTGAGCCAAAACCAAAGGATTCTTCAAGGAAAAGTGTTGTTGTGTAATTACACAGTCTCTCATAGTGGGTGCTCCTCCATTTGTCATTATAATAACAGTATTCACAGAGTGAAGGGGACATTAATGTATATAAGGAGGATGAAAAGAAGATTAATAGTTTTTATGCAGATTACAGAGTTTGCAGTTGAAAAGCTGGTCTAAGAGCCTGAAGGTATTTCTCCTGCTTAGCAAAGATAAAAATTGAAAGGTTATCCATAAAATGGAATTACTGATTTGTCATATATTTCTCAGTTTCTATCTTTTTATGTTAAGAACTAAAAAAGAAACTAAGAATGGAAGTGAAAGAAGATTTTAAACCTTAAAATGAAAACAGGAGAAAAGGGACTTCTCTCTCTTAAAATCTGATTCTGTAATCCTTTACAGTTTGTCTAAACATTATCTGCAGCTTTCAATCACCTGGGTTTCTTGATTATTTTCACCAGGAATTTTTGAATTGGAGAACACCAAATGTTTAAACAGGATTGGGCTCTAAGGCTCTGTTCCATATAGTTTCCATTAATCTGTGAGTAAAAAATTGCTGAATTGTCCCAGTATCAGCATGAAAACAGCTGCTCACAGTGGCTTGCTTTATGTACTGTTACTGGGAAATACTTTTAAAATGAAAGTCTTCCCTGAGCACTACCTAGTTACCATGCTAAATTTCCATTTCCAGCACTGTTTGTAGCAGTGTAAGTGCAGCAGTGATTTACATCATCAGAGTGCTGTGGATCAGTGTAAAAAATGCTGATTGATAGGGAAGTGGGTGCCTCCTTCAAAAAAGTAACTGCTGACAGTTAGTGTTTCTTTAATTATCCACCATGATTTAGGTAGGTTTGCCAGCTTGCTCCAGGGATTTAGGTATTTAAGCAAAGATATAAATTAAGTAGTGGAAGGTTCTTCTGAGGTATTTAGAATTCATACTTCCAATCTTATTTATTTCAGGTAGTCTGATATAAAAACATAAATACAATAAATCTTTATGACCGCTTTTGTCTATTTTGGAACCCTCCTGGATTTTTAGATTCCTGATGTTTATTTATTGTGATGTTGGGAAGGATTTTTTTCAGTGCCTAAACCTATTCCTTTTGAAAACATTTCCTGCACAGGCCAGGACTTTCTGCCTTTTCTTTGTAACTTCCGTGGCACTTTGGGCTTCTTTATGAGAAATACTTACTGATGATATGAGATCATGAGATTTATGAGATACACTTATTTGTATAACCCTCCACTCTGAGCATGTGTGAAGGTTCATTAGAAAAAGCTGATTTAAGTGGAAGGTGAGAAGATTCACCATGATGTATTCTCAGAAAGAATGTGGGGTTTTTTTTGCTACAAAATTTATTATTTCCACTTCTGAATGAAGGTGATGTTTTATAATTGTGTTTAGTGTCAAAGAACATAGTGGAAATTAGGTCTCTTTGTTGCTTGACTGCAGCTTAAAAATTAGTTATTCTAAACTGGTGATCATGCCACAGAAATAATGTGTTTTTAATAATACCTGCAACTACTGGATGTGCTGTATTTTGTAGTACCTCATAAATAGTAAGGAATAGTAAAAACCTTATGCAAGTTCTTCATGGTTGTTTTAATTTATGCTCAAACACCTTTATTTCAGTCAGAGTAAATGTGTGCAACAATAGTTTGTGTAGATTATGAGGTTTCTGTGGACTCTGAGGTTTGAACTAATATAGTTGTGTTGCAAGTTTTTATTCTGCTCCCCACCTCAAAGGGAAGCACAATGCTCCCATATTGGTTGGGTGACCTCCAACAAATAGAAGAACAGAAAAAGGTGCTAATATATAAATTTATATAAAATGCTTGCACAATCTGAATTAACAAAGACTGCCAGTGTCTGCTGCATTATCCATGAACAAAACTAGATGATACTGGACTAAATTATTCTACACATAGACTTAAAAGGCTTTACTTGACAAGAGCATGCTCTAGAAGGGAAGGAGTAATCTTTTGTAATGACCCTGTCAGTATGGATGTTGGAATTGCTGTGCAGGCCTTCAATCAGGAGTACCTAAGAGAGTGTGAGGGTACATAAATACAGAGTCAAATTCTTCTGTCAGACAAAAGCCCAGTATGTCAGGGTAGCTGAGGCCAAAGTTGGTGCTGCCACTCTAATGGATGGCTGGGGTTTGCATTTGGGGATTTCACTTTGGAATTGACAGTGACATACTGTGGAGTAACTGCGAAAGCAAAGCCTGGTATTGGTTTGTTTATATGAGCCTTCGGTGGCTGCTGCAAAAGATTGAATTAATCCTTATGCTGTGTGGGCTTTAATAAGTTATTTTACTGAAGCTTGTTTTCTTTAACAAAGGAGCAGCTTGTTTTCTTAAATCTGTGGTACTTTCAAAACTCGGTGGTGTCAGAGTGCATAGTAGCCCATGTGAATGCCCTTATGAGTTAATTAAATTGCTTGGCCTAGTGGTGTAAACTATCTTCAAATCATGTGTGGTGGGATTTAGCTGAAGAAAAAAAATTGTAAGTATCTTCTATTTGAAGAGGGACAAAGTCTTTCAAGTGAAACAAATTCTCTTAGACTCAGGGCTTAGACCTTGGTTTTCTCTGGGGCTGGTTATTTGCTATGTAGCAATGTTACGTTGTTCACTCTTCTAGACTTTTTGTATAACACCACTTGGAAATGAGAGAATATTTCAAAAAGTGATGCAGACATGGAGAAATAGAAGTTCTTCTTTTGCAATATGCTATGTTGACAAAAATAAAGCCATGACTTTGATGCCATTGATTCTTTAAACACTGAGATGTTTAAATTAAGCTGCTTTGTCATGTGAGAAATGAATCCAAATGATTTGTTAATAGATTCAAGGTGTCCTTTTAAATGTAGGAAATGTGCTTGATTCATATGTTTTACCTATCTGGGATGGCCTCTATATGCTGCCTTAGTTTTGTGCTAGTCCTTTTAAGATCAGAGATCTCTTTTAAGAGATCCTATTATTTTTATGTCTGAATGTTGTGGAAATATATGAAAAAAATGTGAAATCATGGGGCCAGATTGCATGATCATACCAGTAAGACAGGTATTTACACTTTATCAATTTAACTTTCATTGGAAAAACGATGTGGCAGCTGCAAGTAGGTGCTAATTATATATAGCCCCCAGCAGATGGAAATATTGCTACAATGTTAGTGATTTCAGTATCATGGAGTTTCTCTGTTTCAGCGACCTCATGATTCTTCTGTCCTAGACTTTAACTTGTTGTCAACCATAAATCATCTAAACTGGCATCATAAATATTATTGCAGAATACAAATCTGATGCCTTTTTTGGCTCTCATTCATTATTCATGTTTATTGAAGTTATACACATATATTGGTTAGCATGAAAATAGGCATTTCTAATTATGTTCAGAATAAACTAATCTATCTGTAACTGTGCTGGTCATCTGGTAATGACAAACTGATAAAAAAGGAAGGAGGAAAAACCTCATTTAGTTTCTAGTTTTGATTTATGCCTCAGTTATATAACAAATTATTTGGTGGAAGGGGGAGACAGTAGAAATTAGGGGTATTAAATATTTCAGTTTGTATTATGTACTGTTAAAAGTTAAACTAAAAATATTGCTGTTAAGTGAATAAGTAATTGAGGATTTTTAGAATTATTTGACTGTGGTGACTTACTAAAGAAAGCTAAATAAAGGATATACTATGTGTATGTCTGAATATAAAACATACATATAATAGAAGTAGAATAAAAAATAGAAAAAGATGGATAGGTATGAAAAAATAGAGCAGAAAAATTGATTAAAAGAAATACACATACTCTGCCTGGTATATGCTAGTATACTTACATACATACTAGCAAATAAAGATGGAAACTGGAATGATATAGGACAGTTGTTAAAACTAGAACTGGATGCTATCTTCTTGGTTTGCCCACAGGCAATTCAACTTGCACTTATTCCTGATAAAGCTTTGTCTAAACTATTTCTGAAAACAACCAGCGATAGTCCATGGGTTCCTTCACTGTCTGCTCCAGAGCTGTCGTGACCATTAGGTAATTATGGTAATTATCTTGGTTCATAACCTGAGTTTTTCCTGTTTAACTTCAGCCTGTCTTGCACCATCCTAACTCCAGCTAATCAAGAGAAGGACATGTTCCCATCTTGACTATAACTGTTCTGACATATTGAGGTCCACTCTTAAGTCAGTACAATGTGTTTTACTGGCAAAAAAGGAACTAAAAGGTCAACCATTGATGTTCTTGCCTACTGCCACGTGTATAGGTTGAAAAGCTATAGGGAGAATAAAATTTTAATTCTGCTGATGCAAAATAAATCCTACAGGAGCCCAGTAGTTTTGAATATATTTTGGATACAAGCTCAGGAAGGGGGAAAAACCGTTCAATAAAAGATCTCTGTCAAATGCCCAGTTTAGGATTATGAATTCTTCTAGTTTGTTTCACCCTTCCTGCTTAAAATTCCATTCCTTGAGATTGGGAATGAAGGTGCTTTTATGCTACATATGATCAGCCTTCCTAAGCATAACAATAAATACATATGCAGTAAGCTGTTTGTAGACCATGGGGGAGGATAACAGGAGAGGCCAGGGGAGTTGTGGAAGAGATTTACTTGCTGATGAAATATTCCATGAACAAAATAAAGGATAAATCTGAATAAATTATTTGCAGCAGTGGGTTGGTTTCCAGCTGCACTGTTAATGACATAGTATGTTTCAATATCATTTATGAATTAATTTAGAAAGATCTACAGTATTTAAAGAGCTGGTGAGAAGGTCACCAGTGTAAAACTGCTTTGAAAAACCCAACATGAATTTTTTCACAGAGAACATCAGATGCCAACATGCTTTTCAAATACTGTGTTTTTGTGAACACTATTCTCATGTTAAATTGTTAATCATTTTGCTAAAACTTTATGTGGTTAGTACAGAAAAGTATGCTAATAGTAATGAGTATTTTAAAGTATGAAAATGCTTTCTGTTACAGTTTTTAAGCCAAAGGAGACTAATGAAGTATTGCAAAATGTCTGTACACTAAAATGTTATTTTTGAAATTTTGAAATAATTTGAACAGATGCATTAAATACACACACCAAAAGCCTTCTATGCATTTGTACATTAATCTCTGCTTTGAGCACTGCGTGAAGTTTTTTTCCTCACCCAGGGAGATAAGTTTTTGTGGATTCCTAGCAAAGTAAATTTTAGGGTCTGCTTCTCAAGCAATTGTTGTGGACTACTCCATTTTCTGATGTTTTAACAGCAAAACAGAGACATAAATCCTTCAGACAAAAAAGGTGTGTTTTCCTCTAAAGTGTATCTTGCCTTCAGACTTAGAGCCCTATTACTGTCTTCTGATGTTCAGTTCTATGGATGCACTTTGTAGATGCTTAGCCACAAAATGAGTATCTTGATTCCTCAAGAAAGTGAAAAACCTTGACCTGCCTTGAGCCAGGGGTACTCAGGCTCAGTTTAACTGAGTTTTTTCATTGTTTTTCCTTGATGCATTTTCATTCTATGCAATCAGACCATGTGTCTGATTTTTGTGAGTAAGGGGTGGTATCAGGCATATGAGTCTGCAATTTCTTACAATGGTATCAGTTCTTGGATTGCTGAAGGAGACAGGAGTAATAGGACTTTTGTTATTTATCTTGTTTTCAGTTCCATGTAGATAGAACTGAAGTTTTAAAGTTTTACACTTTTCAGTAGAGTTTACTTAGAAGTATTTGTAACATCTAGGGAAAAAGTAAAATCTTTGCATTCAATAATGTATGCAAAGGAGGTTTTGTCAATGACAATTTTATTATGCTGCATCCTGTCAAAATCAAAGCTTCCTCAGGAAGAAGGGAAAAAACCTGGTTGGTTGTGTCTCTAGGCCACAGTTATTTGAGGGAAAGTAAAATAGCAAGTGATTGGACAAAATAATGGTGCAAACTCAGGAGAAAAACACATGAATATCTTAAGAAAAATAGAAAATTATGCATGCTTCCTCTTGGCTTTATGTGTTATCAAGAGGCACCTTAAACAAAGTGAAATTTGTCCTTTCTTGTGGACTACAACCAAGGAGAACTAATTATCAGGAAAAGTTTTCTCCTGTGGACTCACAATCAGTCTTTAGGTCAGAATAAATGGTAATGGAAAAATGTGGTTATTAAGTCTAATGCATGGTTTCTAGAGGATAAATCTGAGAGGTCATTTAATAGGGTATTATCATACAGAAGCTTTCAAGCCTGCAGATTGTGATTTGGTTAATAAAATATGCCGAATATTTAACAAATTTGCATCATGTATACTTCCCTTATCGCTGTTGAATCATTAAATGAGAAAATGTAACTCCCAAGAAACTTTAAGATGAGGATAGAAGTAAAACTCTTCCTTCCACAAAGCCAATCTATTTTTGTGAAAAACAAAACAACAACAAAGTAGAACAGAAAAATTCCTCAAAGCCTAATTAAATGATTTTGCAGGCAGGAACAGCTGCTAAAGCATTTTGCCTGCAGGATTTGGGAACAGAGAGAGCTCAGCTGATCTAGAGAACAGCCCAAGGTGCTGCAGGCTCTGCCGTGCCTCTGCCACAGGTGGCTCCTGGTTTTGTTTTCAGTGCCTCCTGCTGAACCTGCATACTTGAGTCACAAAGGGCTGGCAGAGGCTGTTTAGAAAGTTCATCCTCTGCCAGATCAACTGATCAAATGCAGTGGAAGAGATGGGTTTTGGGGATGGGGATGTGGTGGGGCAAAGAAGAGAGATGTGAGCAAGGAAGAGTCTTACCCAATCTCTGCACTCCAAGACTGGCACGGCATGCTTTTGTTGTTGTTTATTTTGTTTGTTTTGCTTTTTTAAAAAAGATTGATAAACTTCTGTCTTAAATGTTTGGACTTTTTTGTTGATTTGTTTTTGATTTTTTTGTTTTTCAAGAAACTTGGGATGACGTTCTACAAGCTTAATAAGTAAGCCATTGAATTCCTTTCTAATGTTATTGTTAGGTGCTTAATTTTAAACCTCCTTGCTGCATAAATAAATGCACTGCATTTGACCATGAAAATCAGTTCATCACACCACTTACAGAATTTTAGAACAGGGTATTCTTCGTGTCTTTCCTTGCATGCTAGCAGATATTCCTTATCTAATGATTCTTCCTGTTCCCCTGTGGGAAGTTTCCTACATATTTTTGGAAGGGTCCCACCCTTTGAAGGGAATTTCTTGAATTGAAATTAGGTTTCAAAGAGATTGAAGGCTTTTATTACATTTCAGACATATGCTCTTGAATGCCTTTGAAAATTTGATTCCAGTGGCACACAGAATCCAAAGCATCTCCTCTACCATGCTGCCCGCTGTAAGTTATTTTTTACATACTTCAGTATGTAGGTAGAGTGGAAAAGAATTTGTCTACTGTGATTCACTAATACAAATTTTCTTTTTTTAAAAAAAAATTATTAATTAATAAATATCTATATGGATTAATAATATCTATATATTTTTGTCTTGTTTCCTTCCCTCCTTTGACAAACAGTGAATATGTCACAACTCCCTCTGAGTTTACAGAGGGGTTGGAAGAAGAAGAAAACATTTTTCTTTGCTGAAGGGAGAGAATTTTAGAAAATAAAAAAAAAAGTTTCAAACAGAAAAGTTTGTTAAATAAATAAGATTATATTTAACCCATATTTTTTCTTTTAACAAAGGATTAAATAAGAAAAAACCTAGGGAGGCAGCATTAATTGAAAATTAAGATGCTTCACTTAAATTTAGAAAAATTAGAGGGTTTATTCTTGAGCTTTTCTAAGAGCTGTGGTGTGATTTGAGGGGTGAGTTTTTATGCCTCTCTTTTCTCACTGGCCTTAAATGGCCATATTCCTGTAATCTGATTTTATGATATAATTTCAGCTTCTTTTGGAATGAACTTTGGATTTGAAGTATATTCTTAGAGCAGCTCTTTTATATGAAAACTTGTTCACAAAGAAGAAAAATGAACTAAAGAACATAACATTGGCTGAGTTCTCCTGGATTGTGGCATGAAACTCAAGTGTTTTTGTTATTTGTGAAATAATTCTTCCAGTGCACTGAAGTATGTAAAAGGAAGGATTGGTGTATTCCTGGGGAATTCCAGCTGGTTGGAAGTGGAATTGTTTAGCTCTTTTGTTTTAATGATTGTGAGCAAGTGAATCTAGGTGAGTCCTTCCAGCTGTATAGGGGGGCCTCAAATTTGGCCAAAAGTTTTGAAGCTGAAGAATCTCTGTAAGTACCAGGAGAGCAGTCAGAGCTGTTCTACCCTGCTAGCTGAAACATTTCCATAGCTTTGTCTGCTACTGTCTGTGTTGGAACAATGAAAACAATGTTAAAGTATTATGTATAGAGTGCAGACTTCTTGCTGAAGGCCATATTAGATGAGAGTTCATTCCTGGTTCAGTTCTTGATCTAGTTATTTTTGATGTCAATGTTTAATTTTGTCAGGGGAATATGAGAATATGCCACTGCCAAATCCAGGCATGTTGTAGATATTTCACTTGATCTCTAGCATCTTATTGTAAATGCAAATCCTTGGAAGACATGACTGGCACTGAATGTATAATACATCCTATTTGTATTTTGGGATGCTGTGGTGATAAGAAAATGGCAAAGTAGAAGCCTGATTTGGGTATATAGTTTGTACTGCCTTTAAAGAGAGTGGTGCTAGATCTCTCTGGAATTTTAGTTAATTTTCCCCAACAGTGTATTGCCAGCTGGGGGGAAACTTTCATGAGTGTCAGTGCTTCACACTATGTAAAACAAAATATGGTGTTCAGTGTATCTTTTAGGTGGGGACCCAATCTAATACAGATTTTTCTGGTAGTAACATTGTTACTAAGTTTTCCTACCTTTTCCCTCCACTTCATCTTCTTAAGAGCAATTTGGAATGTGAACTATTTGGAGCATAGTTTGGCTTCTCAGGTGGACTTCAGAAGACCACAGGAGCTCCAGTGATTGTGTAAAGGCAGGGACACATAGCCAGATTAGTTGACCTACCTGAAATTTAGGGATTGAGGATATCTGATACCGGGGTTGAGCGAGGATCACGGAAGGGAATGGTGGTTGCTGGGATGAGGAGGAGGCAAAGGGAGCTTTGAGGTCCATCCGTGTCCGTGCGTGCCCCACACTCCCACAGACCTGCCTCTGCTCCAGGGTGTGCTATCCACACAGGAGCAGGGAACTGCAGGCAGGACCACAGACTGCGGCAGCCTGGCCTCACTGCTGACCTAGATCCATCCACAGCTGGACATTCTAAGCTTTACTTTCAGCAATTTTGTGGCACTTCTGATCACTGATGCCTTTAATATTTAAAAAAATACTTAAAGCAACAGTAAATATCTATCTACATAATGTGTTACTAATAGGTGATATGATATCCCTAAATAATTGGATTTTTGGTAGATGTTACAGTTTTGTGATGGAAACCATGTTTTGAATAAAAATCATGGCTACCCTGGACCAAATATCCTAAAATAACCATAATGACTATATGTATATTTTGGGGTGTGTGTATATAAATATATATATATAAAATCTGGGTTCAATGTGTATTTTTAAATGTACTTTACATAAAGTTATTGAACAAGATGCCAGTTGTATGCAATTCAGAAAGGTTAAGTGCACTTCCGAGAATCTAACAAAACTATGTTGCCATAAAATTAAGACATATGAGGAGATACAGCTTTCTAATAAGCCAAAAATGTGCAGAACCAGATTAAGATAAAATTCCTGACAAAAGGGCTTTGTAAATTAAAATTCCTAAATAAACTGTGGAGTTTTTGCAAGATTTTTTCTTCTGTTGAGAACAAATATTCTACGAAGTAGTAAAGATACTCTTGTGCACCAGAGCAAAGAGGCTCTTGCCTCTTTGAAAGTTGTTAGAAGTGTTATTTATTAGTTGTCTGAGATACAAATAGAAACCATTAGAGCAAATGAGCTCCTAATTAAAAGAAGGCAAATTGTTGTTGTGGGGTATTGACAGAGGAGAAACATAACATAAAACTGGGATCTTTTTTTTCCTGGAAGTTTTATTGGATGTGCTAGAAAAAAGTGGTTATTTGCTTTAGAAACCCTGAGAACAAGGCCACAAGTTTTAATTAACAAATCCAAATAATTTAATCCAAATTGTTAAGTTCTTGCTGTTATAAATACTAAATATTGACCTCTGAAGTTCTAGAAAATTAACCAGAAATTTTTTTTATGGTTTGGTTCTAAAGAGAATATTCTGGGCATCTAAGAAAACTGTTCACATCAAGTTTGAGATTAGAGCAGGTTCATTCCAAGAAGTGGGGAGTGTACAACTGGAGGGATCATATTTCATTAAATAAATACTTTATGTTTACAGGCAATTGTGTAATAGATATGTAGCTCAGAATTTAAGTAGTTCTTGTGCCTGTGTCTCTTACCCAGGAGTGTTTTCTTTGTGCCTTATTAAAAACTTAAGTGGAATGAATTAATGAAGTCTGCTAAACACCTCCCCAAGGCCCAAAATATGAATGTCCTAAGTTCCTGTGATAGCAAGAGATTTAAGTGAAACCATTCAAAAATTTGTTGGTTTTTTTTTCCTACTCTGAAATAGTTTGAGGTATATTATATTTGCTTTTAAATTATTAAAAGGGATTAATATAAACATTTCAATTAACTATTTGCTCTGTTGACATCTGTCAGTCTTCATGTCTGAGGTAAAGCTGAGTAAGCTTTGTTTTAGTGCCAGTGCCAAATCACAAAAAGAATCACTTTGACTTGTGGTGACCAGGGTTTTGCCACCTTTGGGCCTATTCTGTTTACACAGGTATAAGCTGATGTGCAGCATGAATTGGTTGTCACTACGTTCCACTGTTGTGTCCTGCTGGTGTTCACTTTTACAAGGTAGGTTTTTTGTTTCAGAGGAGTTATAGCAGTGTAATGTTAATTCAAACCATAGCTGATTGTTATGGTAACTTTCATATAGGCAAATGATGGGAAGGATTGTAATTTGAGGCTTGTTTCTATTTAGATAATAAAATTTGAATGTGTTGAAGTACTCTGAAGCATTTTAACACCTTGTTCTTGCCCACAAACAAGAATTTTTAAGAATCAGTGTTCACAGTTGGACTTAAGCAGTTTAATAGAAATTCCTAGTGTTTCTTCAAAGTCCCTGTGCTTGCTGTAATGAGCTCTAGTCTGGCACATTCAGTCTGATCCAAGTCTGGCCAGCCTCATTAAGGGATGCTGTGCTATCCACACAGGGCTGTGCAGGTTTGGGAGGCAGCTTTTCATGAATCTGCCTAGCATGCTACAAGCATATGGAGATCTGCTTCAGTAAAATAGGTTTTCATCATATTACCATCATTTATTCAAGGGATGAATAATGGACCCTCATTTGTTACACAACATAATGAGAAAGAAAGCAGACTCCTATTTAAACATTTATTGAAAATTATGTAGGTGATTTTATTTCTACTATTACATCATACTGATTGTTTCAGAAACTTTTTCCTTTTGTTATTTGGGGTTTTTTTTTTCAGTTTGTTTTCCAGTTCTGCTTATATTTCCTCAAACTTAAAGCTGCAATAAGAACAGATCCACTCAATAGTAAAAGGCTACCGGGGGCTGACTGGATCCATCTGTCAGAGAAGGGGAAGAGAATCTTTAGAGAATAGGATTAACAAGCTGGTAATGAGGGCTTTAAACTAAAGGTGCCTGTGAAAGGGAATCTCAGTCCACCCCACTCCTACCAGTTTGAATCCAGGGCCAGTAAGAGATGGCTGGAGGAAGAGGGGAATACAGCTCCCATTTTGAAAAAGAGAGGGAAAGGAAGACCAAAGGAACATGGTCAGTCAGTCTCACCTCTGTGCCTGGCAAAATGATGGAGCAGATCCTCCTGGAAGCTGAGAAGACACATAGAAAATGAGGAGTTGATTAGTGACAGAGAATGTGGCTTCACTACAGCCAAATCGTTCCTGACAAACTTGGTGGCCTTTTATGATGAGGTTACAGCACTGGTCCCTAATGGAAAAGTAACTGACACCATCTGCCTGGAGTGGTGCAAAGCACCTGGCATGGTCCTGCTCAACATCCTGGTCTCTGAACTGGAGACACGTGGACTGGATGGATGGAGCAGGTTTGGGACCTCAGAGCCCCTTCCACTGCCTAAAGGGGCTCCAAGAGAGCTGGAGAGGGACTTTTGGCAAGGACATGGAGTGATAGCACAGGCAGGAATGGCTTTAAACTGAAAAAAGGCAAATTTAGATTAGACATTAGGAAAAAAAATCTTCCCTTTGAGAGTGGAGAGGCAGTGGAACAGTTTGGCAGAAAGGTTCTGGCTTTCCCATCCCTGGAAGTGTTCAAGGCCATGTTGGATGGGGCTTTGAGCCACCTGGTCTAGTAGAAGGTGTCACCCCTCTTTGGCAGGAGGATGGAACTAGGTGATCTTTAAGGTGCCTTCCAACCCAAACCATTCTGTGATTCTATTATTTTCTTTTTCCAGACTGAAATATCTTTGAATTTACAGATACTAAAATAATCATTAGATAAAAAGTACTTTCATTTTCTTGCAGCTATCACATAAATGTTAATTATTACACTTCTTTCTATTTTGTAGACCAAGGAGCACTCTTCTAAGGGAGGGAAAAGTGTCTTGAGGGGAGAAATAATTTTTTTGAAATAAAGTATATCAGTTTTAGGCACAGATGATATGGATATTTATGCTAATGATGGTTGAGTCTTGGGGTATGTGTACTGTGGTTGTCATTGGCAACTTAACATTAGGTTCTGTGGGTAATTGCAGCTGGTACCATGTCTGACTGGTAAAAGCAGTATCACAGTTCTGTAGTTAGAAGAAGTGACTAATAGTAGGGTTTTTAATGCCTCCCACTGCAAAACAGTGTGTCATTACATCACTTTCTAAATATATCTCATCATGCATTTATCTTTTCCTGTGCTGATTGACTCCTATTCTCCTGAGACATATTTAAATGTCATTTTATCTTTCAGTGGCAGAAATGTTGATAGTTTATCCTGGAAAGAAAATGACATTGAACAATATTTTGAAAAGAAAAGGTAGGAGAATTTCAAGTCAGTTTTGCTTCTGTGTTGGCAAATGCTAGTTCTAGCATTAGCTGTAATTTTTAGTAAAAGGAAATGACATTAATTTGTGGGGATATTTGGATAATTTTGGCAGATTTTCTATTTTCAAGGTAATGCATTATTGCACTCCAAATGGTTACTTTGCTGTTTTTTCTTTACTGTAGCTGCAGAAAATATTTAATATGTTTGGAAAGGAAAAAAGCTGAGCACATCATTCTGCCTTAACAACAAATACATTCAATGACAGATGGCTATGCATGTTGAGTGTTGTTTTAAGCTATAATTGGATGCTTATATAAGTATGCTTAGTCAAATATGTGTAATTAAGCTTTCTTGTTAGGTAGGCTAACTTACAGGGCAGGCCACGTCTCAAAGATGTCAGAAGTAATGGTGATACTGGACTTGTTCTGGTAAAACACTTACCTAAACAAAACCCAAATAGAAGCATCTGCTGTTTTCAGTTATTGCTGTTTACTGCAAGGCCTTCAAAATCAGATGAAGATGAAAATTAAATGACATAAAATGCCATGGGAGGTTTTGTCTGCTCTATTTTTATACCTCAAACCATGGTATGTGTCTGAGAGAGGGAATGAGAGTTGCAAGTAACATTTATTAACACAGCTGGTAGCTTCCTTATTGTAATGAGGTGTAATAGAAGTGCAGAAATTTCTAGTGGAAGACAGTAAGTTGGTGGATACTATGTAGAGTCTTGAAAATTGATATGGTTGTGTGAAATCCATTCTTAGTGGGTAACATCCTAACTGTGAATGTTAGGAAAACTACACAGTTAGTGAGCACAAGGTGTTCCTGGTTCTTGATGAGTAACCCCAAGCCTCAGAAATACCAATGTGCTGTGCTCATCTGCTTTTGCTGTGATGTGGAAGGAAAGTTTTCCCCGGGAGATAAAATATTTTTGATGTCCAGAATTGACAAGAGTACTGAGACATTTTTTGTTTGGTCATCTATGAGGTACCCTGACATAACTATTTAGCATCAAGATTTTTTTCCTCTTAATTATGCTGTTCAATTTACCACTGCTTCTACGCTTGTAGAGAAAGCCTTCGTTCTCCTCTCACATTATGAAAATAGAGAAAAGCAGCAATTTTGGAAGAGTTCCTCATGTTCAAACCAAGTTTAGTTGCTATATTAACATGAAACTTGGCTTAGGTCTTTAATCCGAAGTGCTGAACTTGTCAAAACCATGGCAATGTGTTGCATACTTATATTTCTATTACAATCATTTCAAAATGTGATTGTTAGTGATTAACATATTCTTCATGGACTTGCCCAGAAAGCAACATTTACACACATTTACACACCAAGGTGACACATAGGGCAAGGTGTTTTCCATTATACAGTTAAGAATAAACATCTCTTTTACCATCAATGTGACATTAGAAGTATAAAAAAAGACCTATATTCAGGTTTAAACTAGAAGGATTATTGTTTTGAAAGCTTGCCTGTTTTCTATGCACAAATCATACCAAATTTAAACAGAAGCCCTCTTCTGGCAGAATGTTTTTAATAATACCAGTGTTTGATATTCACTTTCCTTCAGGAAGATGGGTTTGCAGGAGGTACAGTGATCATCCACTTTTTCTTCTGACTGTGATCTCTAAAAGGACATTTGCTGGTGCTCTACCCATGGGTGGATTCTCTCCTCTAGATGCCCAACAGAATCTTTGCTTTTGGCTTTGTACTTGCTCCCCAGAGAAATAAAGGATTACATGCAGCTGCTATGTTTTTGTCTCCTTGGAAGGTTTTGCTGTCTGTTTAGAACTGTGTGACTTGAAATTTTTGTGTTGTTTTCCCCAGAAATTGCATAAGGATGAAACTGGATTTCTGAATTATTTCTGAGAGCTAGATGCTTCCTAATTAAGTGCTTTAAACTCAGGCTTTCCAGGTATCTTGCTGCATCTAGTCTGGAGTCTTAAGCAGTCACAAGGTGATTTCAAGTTGCTGGGCAACCAGGAAATGCAGTAAATTTGGAAAATAGCAGTATTTCCCCCCATAACAATTCCCTTGTCTATATAAATTCTGACATACGGATTACTCCTGTTTTCTGTGCATCATCAGTAAGTTTGAAATGTCAGGGCTTTTTTTAAAACTGATTTGATTTCCCTTCAGATGAAAAGACAACATATGTACCATTTTAATTGTTGTCATATTTAGATTACAGAACAGAATTGTTTAGAAAATAATTTGGATAAATAATTAACCCATGATCTTAGTTTATTTCAGGTACCTTACTTTCCTTATTTAACAATTTTCAAGGAATATTGATGGATACAAATGCTAAGCTGTAACTAGAATTTTGTTTTCTCTATTTATAAGGTGAATTTTTCATGTTACCTTAACTCTGTGGTTAAGTGTAAGAGAAAATGAAGCCCTGAAGTGTTGCTTACAATTGAGTATTGACACTTGGTAATAGTAATGAATTTATTCCATACAGATAATTCCTTCATTTAGAAGTTTATCTGTGCATTTTAAGCAAGAACACCTAGTACCAATATTTTCCTGTTACTTACACAATATTTTGAGTTGTAAGGGACCCACGAGGATCATATAAGCTCATCTCCTGACCCTCTAAGGACCACTGTTGCAGTGTGTTTCTTGTTAATGGTATGTTCTGTTATTACCTAAGTTGATGGTTTAGTCCAAATGAGACCCTCCCACCCCACGCTGTCAATCTGCCCTGAGTCTCCTGTCAATCTGTCTTAGGCCCACCGCATGCTCGGAATTCCACTTCAGAAATCCCCTAAACTTCGACGCTTGATTAGTCCATGTGACCCAACTTTCCCCCCTACCTCCCTCATTGGATGATGATTTTGTGAACCCTGCCTTTTACCCTCCCCAGGATATCTCTGATTAGCTGATGCTTTGTACCCTCCCTTTGAACTGCCTCCCTATTTCAGCTGTTGCACTCTCGCATTTTCTGTCTTTTGCCCCCAAGATTCCCCAGAGCAATAAATCCTCTGTTATCCCATGCAAAAGATCTCCCTCTCATCCTTGTCTCCTCAGACCACAGCCTGACAGCCAAGAAGCCGTAGAGCAAGTGCTCTAGTCACACCTGGGGTCATCCTGCTCCTGGGGTGTGACCCACTCCTGTCTCAGGCTGAAGTGACAGAGCCAGATCAGCTCTGGCCCATGCATTAGACCCCTCCTAAAATCTCACCATGTGGCTGAGAGCATTGTCCAAACACTCCTTGCACTTTCAGGCGTGGGACTGTGACCACTGCCCGGGGGGGCTGGACTCTGTTCCAGTGTCCCAGCACCCTCTTTGTGAAGAACTTTTTCCTAATATCCAACCTAAACATCTCCTGCCTCAACTTCATCCATTTCCCTTGAATCCTGTCACTGGTCATGAGAGTGAAGAGCTCTGTGCCTGTCCTCAGCTGCTCCTCTGGAGGCTTCTCCCTTGGAAAATATACTATCTTTGCAGCCTTCTTTGGATTCTCTCTAACAGCTTTATACCTTTTATACAATCCCAAAGTCCTCAGCTTCTCAGCATAGGCACATCCTCAAAGCCCTTCACACCCTGCTGCAGGGCAGAGGGGCCCTTGAGAGAGCCAACAATACCTCCCAGTCTGGTATCATCAGGAACCTTGCTCATTGTGCAAGGTTCTGTGCAACCTGTGCTCATTTTGCATTGTGCAAGTCCTGCAGCCAGATTGCTGATAAATGTGTGAAAGCAAAGTTTGGGGTCAGTTTGATCTGACTGAGAAGTACAACTGTATTCTGTGAGCACACAGGTTATTATTGCTGAGAACTTTGTTTTTAAATTTGCACTTAGTACCAGATGAGATCTGAAGCAAACTCTTAGCTTCACTAAGGTGTAAGGCTCTGGAAAAGATTTTCAGACTTTGCTTTCTCCACTGGTTTGAACAGTAATATCTTTTGTTGAAGGAAATTCAGATGCTTTAATTTTGGGTATTAGTTTTATCAATTACATATGTTCTTGGATATGCTACTTCTTTTCTGCTCCTACCTTCTTAGACAGAAGAGGAATACAGCATTTTTGAAAATGCTTTCCTTGCAACTTCAGACAACCTTTTGTTCTGCTGTTGTCTATAATTTTCAAACAGTTAGGAATATCTGCATTAGTTTTGACATGTTCAAAGATCCTTTATTTTTTTCTTACTTTCAGTAAGTAAAAAGAAAACCTTACATTTTTGATGTTGCTGTCTGGTTGCTATTAATATGAGGGAGAGGCTTTAAAAAGAAAAACAGTATCACGCTTACTGAAAAAGCCCTGAAACCACCCTGCCCCAGAACAAATAGACATCCTAATAAAGGAAATGCTTCTTTGGGTGTTATGCTAAATTAACTTGGGAAGTGAGGAGGCATTAAAGATTAAGCATTCTTCTGGGATTTGGGATTGTTTTTGTGATTGTTTAAAAACAACCCCCATAATTAATAAATCCAGCTAACAAACCAAATAACAACCAGTAAAAATCCACCTCAAAGACTATTAAAAACTTATTTTAGTATTTAAATATTTATTGGGTTCTAAGTAAATGGTAGCCATAACTTTGTTTAGATTAATAAACACCTTTGCTGTCACAGTCTTTATTTTTAGTCTTTTAATGTGTGTTCTGTGCAGTAGCTTGTGGAGTTTTAAGTTACAGCAGAAATATTATCTATATAGCCCAGAGAGGAATTAGTATTAAAAAACATAGAATTTTGAAAAATTTGTACTTGGTCTTCACAAATTTCCCACTGTTTTTCATCTTTCTACATGGTTATGGAAGTTGCAACTGTTTGATGCAGTTCTTGTCATTGTTTTATTCTTAATATATGCTTTGAAAATATATGCTTTTAAAAGAGGAATTCATCCATTTCCTCTCAAAGTCATTGTGGGGATGCAGTCATTTTTCACATTAAAGCCTACCTTCAGAAATGTTTGGAAATGTAGGCAACATCTTTTAATCTTTTTCTTTGTGAATATTTTCTGCTAGTTTGAAAGCCTTAATTCTACTATGATAGCTTTGCACTCTCCTCTATCTTTAATTGCTTATTCCTTTGTCTTCATATCCATGCTGTTGTTCTCAAGCATACCTGCACAAGCAAAATTATCTAAATATTATTGCCATTGCCACTCCAGCAGTTTGAAACACCTTTTTTTCCTCTCAAAACATAAACTTGTGCTTCATAAAGTACATAAAAAATTTAGCCTATTTAGTCCAAATACTGTATTAGGATTTCTACTTACCTGGCCTGGGAAGTAGGTGCGACTTCAGAAATAAGAATATATGAATATATATATATATATATATATATATATATCTTTTTATAAATAAACCTACCTACTTTTGTTTTAAGTTAGGTGGGGATGCAAAATTGATAGAATTTTTGCTGTTAGATCAAAGTTGTGATCATTTGCTCCCTTCTTCAAAAACAGATGTAAAAACAAAAATCACTTTCTATTAATCACTTTTTATCAAACTAAAATCTGTGTTGTAGCATCTGTGTGTTTTGGTATGGGAATTATTTTGCTTTTGTGGGAATATATCTCTATAAACATCTAGCAATGAATGCTTTAGATGTGGGTAATTGGTGGTTGTCTGGTGAATTCAGCCATTATATTTATCATAATTTTGTGTGCAGTCAAAATTATTTATTGAAATATAAATTCATTTGAAGGTAACTTCTGTCAGGCAAAGTATTTCACAAAACAATTTCTATCTTTCATTCTTCCAAGTTGGCATACATATCCAAATCTAGCTACAGATGTATATATATATATATAAAAATAAAAGTTTTTATGAGCATTTTCTTATAAACTTATATAAAGCTGCCAGCTACTCGAGTTTATTATATTCTAAATTAGTTCTGAATAAGCTCTATTGGAATAAACTCTATTTAACAGCTCCAGCAGTAAATTCCAGGTACTGCTTACTTAAAATATTGTATACTATTTAAGTGGAGAAGCCTGCCAGCTGCTCATCAGTTTCTTTAGTCAAACATCTGTGTGGGAATGTGGCAGCATTAATTTAAAGTTTAGATGTATTTTCTTGCACCTAATGTTACATGAATGTACATTGAGTGTTGTAAAAGACCCTGGGAATTTAAGAGCTGCTAAATGTAAGTTTTGCTAATTATTTCTGTAAAGCTTGGTATTTCTGGTGGAGAAGACTGTGGGATCTTGCTGCTTTTTATTTTGCTGATAATTGTACCTGTATTCTGTATAAACTAGGAAAATGAGAACCTCGCAATATTTCTAAGCCTTTTTGGACATATGTTCAGCAGAAGACAATTTCATGCAGACTCGTGCAATTATAGCCTCAAAAAGTCACTGATGTGTGTAAAGTTCTTATTTCATATTTCATGTCTAACTGGGAAGCTGCAGCTACCATACTTTTAAAATTTAATGATACTTTGAGCCTATTTAAAGAAAACCTGACTTTATCTTAATGTGTGAGATGCAGTAAAATTTGCACTTATCTTCCCATGTCTCCAATATTTTCATCAAAATTAAACCAGCATTTATGTAGTGGTCTCTTGAGCCTTTTATTTATTTATTTCCTGAATATTTTCTTGACATTTTTCCTGAAAATTTTGCTTCTGTTTTGTTAATCAGTTTCTTCAAAAATTGAGCTAGATTCTTTGAAAAACTTACCCAGGCTTGAAAAGCTTTTTCTGTTAACCAGCAGTGCTTAATAAGAATGTAAAATTTTGTGAGAAAAATATGCTTTAGTATAGTCTGCAGATAAAAGCAGTTGAAGGGTGATAATTTA